TTTATATTTTGACACATTATTCCTAATAATGTTATAATATTGCATGCAAAATTTCAGCTTAAAATGTTGAGCGGTTGACAAGATACTGCAATTTTAACATTGACCTGGTTCCCAAAATGACCTGGTTTTCATAACATTCTAAAAAAACGTTATTATTAAAAATATAAGAAATAAAAATGGCAAAAATATGAAAATAAACATATATAATGTTTTTTTGATGCTGAATTCAATAAATGTACTTAAAATGCTGAAATAAAAAAAGAACATGCTTAAAAGTTAATAAAACAACTTGTTTCTATAAACCAACTTTGGGGCCCAATATCTCAAAACACCTTCGTCAATTTTTTTTTTTTTTTTTTGCTGTTATTTTTTCAGTTATAATCTTACTTGGCACAAAAAATCTAACTGGAAAAACAACTGAAACATATAGAACTTTAATATCAAAGATGTATTACTTTTACAAGAAATTCCCAAAAAATATTTGTAAATAAAATAAAAATAAGTTATCGTAATTTAAAACGGTACTTAAATATACAAGTATCGAAGATGTAAGTTATTTTGTCTGTGTTTGTAATAATTCACAATTTTGCTCCCATTTTACTTGTACTTCTAATATTTCAGCATTTTCAAACATATAGTTTTTACCAGAACTAGAGCAAGCTTGTGGGACAGTTTTTTCAATATGTTGGTGTTGGGAATAAAACAGTAGTCGTCTCTTTCAGGCCAGTTAAAACAGATTGAGGGACCTTTTGGGTGAAGAAACTTAACTTTAGCATCAACTTCTTCTAGGTTGCTTTCAGTTACAATGCCAATCCACCACTTATCATCATAGAATACAGCTACATAACCTCCTAAAGTGACAGTATCAAGTTGAAATGTATCTTGTTTCTTTTTAATGATAGATTTTTAATGTTTCTTTTTAAGTAGTGTCCGTACTACACCTCTTTGCCCCAACACTGTTATCTCCAAGATGTATAAATTGATGAAAGCTACGAGTACCAGGTAGAGTTGTTACACCAGTGTACCTTTCTTTTTGCTCCTCATGTTGCAATTGTAAGTCTGCACCCTTTATGTAAATGAAAATAAAAACCTTGATTTTATCAATACAAAATTCATACATAGCTTCTGATGTGAGAATTTGGTTTCTGTATGGTCGTTTTAAACTTTCTTGCGCTGTTAACCTTTTTACAGTACCGCCAATCTCATCGCATGGTGACTTTCCGAGGGACGTGGCAAAAAAGTTCGATTCAACTTTAATGGAAAATTGGCTCTCTAGTTGGCATAGATTGTAAACGCTTTTACAATTTTTGTACTGTCCTACGCAACCATCAGTGAATAGATATAATTTAGACATATTGGAAAATTTTGTTTTTAATATTGATATGATTAGTTGAAATATTTTGTACACATAAGCTACATCATGTGTAATGTCGTCTGATATAAAACAGTAAGAAATATGTTTCAGTACACCTTTATCATTTTATAGTATATCGCTAATGGATGTAAAGAACATTGTTGGGTGTTCCAATGATAGTTTTGTATTTCATCTTGGACTACAAAAGTATAATTTTCAGCAAAGTCACCAATAATGAAAATGTTTGATTGATCCATATTTTGTTTTAGTTGGTTAAGATACTGTGATTGAGAGTGAGCAATAAATGAATGAGCTTGTAGCTTTTCAAAGCAAGGTACTAATAGTTCAAAAAATATTTGGAACATCTGCTGTTAATCTGCACGATCAGTAGTTTGCCATTGCTTGTTGTGTATCGCAAAATCATCTTCGTATTCATAAAAATCTCACACAAATATTTGGTGAGGGTTTCTTTACCAGGACAACTATTACACTGTGCAACCATGCATTCTTTGTTTTCTACTGAGCAAACGGTTTTCGAAAGTAAATCTTTAAACTTTAATCTAATATTTAAGGCATCTACTAGCAATATAGCATTTTGGTGATAAGAACAAACACTAACAGAATGTGTATCACTTGCACCTGGCAAAATGCACCACTTTGGTCTAAGTGAAGCAAATTTTGAGTAACTTATTTGTATTTCTGGATTGTTTTCTTTGTATAATACATATAGTTCTTTTGAATAACACAAAAGTTTTTTTTGTTTATGGACGTTCTTTTGAATGCTAACATAATCTTTTTTTCCAGGCATAGTTCTACAAAAATCACTTGAGCCATAAAACAATTTAACAGAATTTTCTATTTCTTTGTGTAAGACTTTACCTTTATACAACGGAGAAATAGCTAACAATCCTTTTTTATTAAAAATTTGTCTAGCCATCTTTGCTTGGTATTCTGTAACTGCAAAGTTGTTCTGTACTTCTAATATTGACCAACTTGGGAGTGCCAGTGTTAAAAGTTGAACAATAGTTCTTTTGTCAGAACATAGAATTTTTTCTTTTATCAAGAACATAATTTCGTCAAAGTTTTCAGCCTTCTTTTTCGTGTTATTTGTTTCACAACACAGTTTTGAGGGAACATTGACTTGAC